TCCGCATCCTCGCCAACATCTGTGGTTGCCTGAGTTGTTCACGTTAGCCATTCTGACAGGGGTGAGGTGGTGTCTCGTGGTGGTTTTGATTTGTATTTCCCTGATGACACGTGACGTTGAGCATTTTTTCATGTGTTGGTTGGCCATCGGGATGTCTTCTTTGGAGAAGTGTCTGTTCATGTCTTTGGCCCATTTCTTCACTGGACTATTTGTTTTGTGGGTGTTGAGTTTGATAAGTTCTTTCTAGATTTTGGATACTAACCCTTTATCTGATACGTCGTTTGCAAATATCTTCTCCCATTCTGAAGGTTGCCTTTTAGTTTAGCTGATTGTTCCCTTCGCTGTGCAGAAGCTTTTTATTTTGATAAGGTCCCAATAGTTCATTTTTGCTTTTGTTTCCCTTGCCTCCGGAGACATGTTGAGTATTTACCTGCCATTTCCTTCTTGCCTTTGTTCCCCACATCACTATGGAGGGGAGGGTGATGTTAGGGCTCCAGGAAACTGAGTCTATAGGTTTCTGGAGATTAGGCTACTGATAAGGTTGCTTTTCTCTCATAATTTACTAAGGTATTTGTAAACACATGGAGACTCATGTCCTTCATGACTGTGATCTGTATCATTTAACCATTTGTTTTCTTTCCTTTATTCTTGGACAGCTGGAAGTGTCCGAGGAATATCACACATATCCCACCTAGGGTCGGGGGAGAGGGGATTGTTAGCGTTTGCTTTGCCCTCAGATTGCCTTATGCTCTCTCATCAATGGGGTCTGACCCACGAACCTAGAAAAGTAACAGGAAAATTATTTTTCTGTCCCCATAAGGCCAGTGCTGGCTTTCCTACTTAACTGCCTTAGCCTCGGCTTCATCCTCTCTAAAATGGGGGTAATAACATTGTAACTGCTAATGGTACATATAAAATAGGTAAGTCATGTCAGTTGCTTAGTACAGTGCCCACACACAGGAAGTAGCCAATAAAGTTACTGAAAATCACCATGTAAAAAAAGAGATGCATGGAATCATTAATGTTTTCTGTGTGTTTGGTTTTTAGTCAGGTCTAATAAGGACCCGAAAAAATGAATTCCTCATCTCCCCGTTACCTCAGCTGCTGGCCCAGGAACATAACTACAGTGCACCTGCAGGGCATCATCCTCACGTACTGTACAAAAGGACGGCTGAGGAGAAGGTCCAGCGTTGCCATGGCTACCTAGGCTCCAGCGGGCATCATCCTGGTCACCCCCCAAATCACATGCCCCACACATCTCGGAGTCAAGAAAGAGAGCATCACCACCCAAGGTTGCAAAAGCAGCATTTTTGTGGACGACGCAAGAAATGTATGTAAGGAAACTTTTTCTTACTCTGTTCTTATGTGGGCCCTCCATAGTCTTTCTTGAGTGCCATTGGGTATGTTGATTTTGCAGGTTAAAATGGGGCTACCCTAAACGTCCCCTGAAATTAGTCTTAGAGATGGACCAGTATTCATCTGTGTCAGGCAAAAGCTGGGTGATCAGTTCTTAATTCTTCTAGATTAAACTAGGAAAGATTTTTGTTTTTTTAAGTTGAGTTTGAGAGAGAGAGAGTATAAGTGAGGGAGGGCCAGACGGAGAACAGAGAGAGAGAATCCCAAGCAGGTTCTGCACTGCCAGCGAGGAGCCTGATGCAGGGCTCGAACCCATGAGCCGTGAGATCATGACCTGAGCCGTAATCAAGAGTTGGACGTTCAATTGACTAAGCCACCCAGGTGCCCCACTAGGAAAGATTTTGATAAGTTTTTGTTTGTTTTTGTTTAGCATCTCCTACTTTTTAGTTATGGGTTCCCATATCATCTTAGTTTCTATGCTCATGAGAAAAGTAGCCAGTCTTCCAGTGATGATGTGGTTGGGTGTTTGTTCTTTTTGAGCTCTTGAAACATAGCTTCATAAGATATGAGAACATTGGCCCCTCAGTAGATGTGACAGTGAGATACAGTGACCCTTGGGCATGGTTTGTGACCTGGGCACAACCTTTTGCATTTTGTAGACAAGCGTTGTCTAATAGAAATACAATGTCAGCCCCAAAAATAGTTTTAAATGTCCTAATGCCATGTTTTAAAAAAAAAAAATTGAAGATTGGTGGATGAATTTTAATAATGTATCTTATTTAACCCGATATATTACAAAATATCTCAACATGTAATCAATATCAAGTTATTATCTGGTAATTTACATGATGTTTTGGAAATCTAGTATTTAACCCTTAGAGCACAATTTCAATTTAGACACTAAGTTTTCCTCAGACATACTTAATCTGTATTTGGATTTCATAACATTTAAGGTTGGCAAAGTAGAGTTATATATTCAAGTTGTTCCAAACGTGCTTGTTTCTCCAGAACTGAATCAAGTGTTGCTTTCTTAATTTAAATTGAAATTAATTCAAATTCAGATTAAAAATTCAGTTTCTCCAGTGGCGTCAGACACATTTCCAAGGCTCAGTAGCCACGAGTCACAGAGGAGTGCTGAGTTGGATAGAGAAGTTGGATAGAAGTTGGATGGTTCCACCCAAGGAGAAGAGGAACTAGTAACCCTGAGCTATTGATGGGGAGCAACAGTGAAATATCGTGTCTCTACCATTTTAGTTGGTCTTTGGGGTTTGGGGTATTAACAGAAATATCCTCTTTAGGGAACACCTATTTGGCATGGATTTGAAATAATAGTGGTATTCCTAATAGTGGTGATATTCGTAGTGACACTGATATGTGCTTGATAGATATCAAAGCTAATTTTGAGAGCAGGCATAGGACTGGTATTATGGATAGTATGTTCTTTTCATTGATGAGGAAACTGAGACTCAGGGTCACTTATCAAAGTGCCTGACCTGAGGTTTTATATCCAATTCTAAATAATTTGATCTTTTCATTCCGTGGAGAGCTGTTACGACCATTATAATGACGGTACCACTTGTTAAAGTATGAAAGTAACTCCGTATTAGTATTGCATTTTTATTTTTTTTTTTATTTTTTATTTTTTATTTTTTTTTTCAACATTTATTTATTTTTGCGACAGAGAGAGACAGAGCATGAACGGGGGAGGGGCAGAGAGAGAGGGAGACACAGAATCGGAAACAGGCTCCAGGCTCTGAGCCATCAGCCCAGAGCCTGACGCGGGGCTCAAACTCCCGGACCGCGAGATCGTGACCTGGCTGAAGTCGGACGCTTAACCGACTGCGCCACCCAGGCGCCCCAGTATTGCATTTTTAAATGTCCGGTTCCCTCCCAGCAACCCTTGGACTTGTCACTCTCCATTAACTAAAGGGATCATGTCTGCCCCACATCCTGAGACTTCCAGGTCTCTTCTCAAAGGCCATGGCCACCATAAAGGTGGTACCTGCACTTTACCTGTTACAAACTAGTTGATACCATTTTAAATTTCACCTCTGACTATGCTATTTCCCCAGTAAGTAACTCAATATTAGGTCAAGGAGTCCTTATTGACCCCTTAAAGTTTGTATTGATGAGACAGGGGTATTAGACGCGGATAATGTCCTGTTGGACATATATTTCTAAATTTTATTTAGAAGGTGTATGAGGTGTTAGGAATTCAGATGCAAAGGATAATGTCTACCTCTGCAGTGTTTTGTTAGTAAAATAAAATGAGCATTATCTGTTTTTAAAGACTCTTTTGATAAAATTGATTTTTCTTGATCTGCTGTACCAACTAGATTTATAGATTGTTTGGTTGTGTATTTTTTTTTTTAACTCATTGAGTATTTTTGACTTACTGAGTCCACCCTTTCTTCGCAAACTAAGGGCAAAGCCCCAGGACAAGCACCAAAGACATTATTCATCAGATCAGTCAAGTGTTGGTTACCTAGACTCTCTCCTCCCCTTGTTGAGATTTCTGTCTATCTCACGCAGATGTTCTCTACTGATAATCCCTTCCAAACGCTCTTCTGTTCATTGTAGATGCCCCTAAGCCTCCCACGGAGGACACCTATCTCAGGTTTGATGAATACGGGAGTACAGGGCGACCCAGAAGATCAGCTGGAAAGTCACAAAAGGGCCTAAATGTGGAAACCCTTGTAGTAGCAGACAAGAAAATGGTGGAAAAACATGGCAAGGCAAATGTCACCACGTACATTCTCACAGTCATGAACATGGTAAGGGAGTTTGTCAGGACTCCAGCCATTCTGGTTCTCCAAATCAGGCTAAAAATCATAGAATGTCCTTGTGTGATTGAATAGCAGATATAGCTACATTATTATATTGAAAAAAAAAAAGGGTTTTGAGGAAATTGGCTTCATGTGTATATATATTTGGTAAAACTGAAGCCTGTATACTTACGAACATGTCTGATTGATACAGAGTTTGGGAAATTTTCAGATTTTGTTTATTTTTGTTTGATTTCAATTGTTCCAACAGGTTTCTAGCCTATTTAAAGATGGGACCATTGGAAGTGATATAAACATTGTTGTGGTGAGCCTCATTCTTCTGGAACAAGAACCTGTACGTGCCAAACTTCACTTATTTCTTCATTCATTCTGCCATTCAGGATATACTTATTGAATACCTACTATGTGCTGATCCACGAACTAGTCACTAGAAATTCAAGCTGGAAAATATGCTGACCCTGCCCTCAAAGAAAGTACAATCAAACAGGGCTGTGTACTTAACTAGAACATCACCAAATAATTACTTATCTGTAAATATATATGGTATATGTATGTATACAATGACACATATGTATGATTGAATATGCTTGTGTAATATCAATATTAAATTATATATAAAAATACAAATATTATGTAGGCTTCACAGGGAAGGTGCATTTGATAATAGCTTTAAGGGTTAGTTGGATTTTGGATCTTGGACATGCTAGGTAATTGCAGGTCGAGGTCAAAGCATATTTTCAAA